CCAGTGCTCTCCCTTGGGCAGCCACATTGTCTGTCCCACATCCAGTGGGATAAAGCAGGCTGCTGGTGGAGAAACACAGAGTGGCTTTCCTGCTAGCAAGGATGTGCATTCTCTGCAGAACTGTGACACAGAATTGATTCAGCTGGTTTGAAAGGAGTCATATAATACACTGAAACAATTCTGGTAAAGACAGCCTATCATTGCTGGGAAGAAGATTGTGCTTCTCTAATGTACCAGTATTCCTAAAGTGTCAGACTGGGGTTTACTGGTATCAGGTAGCCTCGGCAGAGCTCATTACAGGGAGGTAGGTGATAAACACCAAGAAGGTCGAGCTCAGGTAAGAGGTGTTAAGGTGAGTGCTAGGCAGGATAGGAGAGAGGATTTAAATCCACATCCTCCGTGCTCCTTACCAGCCTGTTTCTGCACCCGAAGGAGCTTGTACTAACCTGCCACCCAGGATGTGTGAGCTGTGACATGCTCCTCCAGTCTGGAACAGTTCAGGCTGAATAGATGTACCAGGAGCCACTGTTGGTGTGGCTTGATTCCCTTTCTGCTCCTGCCCTGCTCATAGCACAGATGGGCAGGGTCAGCAGGGAGGTAAATAAATTCTGCAGACACAGTCTTCAAACTTAATCCTTGTTTTTATAATGGTTTTCCCCTTCTTTCTCTGAACTGGGAGCAGCTGAAGAGGCAGGTGTAGGAGCCACTCCCAACCTGGAGGACCACGCTGCAGGAGATGCCACTCAAGGTTAGTGATCATCGGTCCCTGGGCTGCCTACATGCGGGGCTGGGGGCTGGGGAATTCCCTCCTGGAAGGCAAATGCTCTGCACTGTATGAGCAGTTGTGCACTTTTCCTTGTTCCTGACGTGGGAGGGTCATACCTGCTTTGAATGCTCCAACATCCTCATTTCATAGAACTACAGAATGATTAGGGTTGGGAAGGACCTTATAAACATCAGGTCCTTCTCCTCAGGCTGCTCTGAATCTCTTCTCTGCCCAGCCTGTAGCTGTGTCTGGGATTGCCCTGACCCAGGGCAGGGAACTACAGCTTTCCATGCACCACATTTCTCTCTCAGATGGCTGAAGCCCTGATCCTTGTTTGTCCTCCACGCTGAAAAAGGGAATGGATAGCGCTGGGATGGTGTTAGCCAGTTGGAAGTGCTCAGCACTGAACAGAGGCAGTTTTGGGCCCTGCATGTCACACATGAAATAAGTGAATGTTTGAATTACGGTGTCTCTTTCTAATGTGAACCATGTCTCAAACCTACTCCCTGATGCCCTGACTGTAACAGTGGGGTTTTCCTCATCCCAGCCTTAGGGAACGTGACTGGCAAAGCCAGGCACTGAGCATCTTAGAGCAGTAATTAATGCCTCTGCTCAGATGAGCCAAGAAACCATTCAGGGACCTCTTGGCTCCCTGGAAAGCCTCTCTTGACTGCTCAGACAGGAAAACTTGATGGGATTTTCCCAGAGCACCCAGTGCTGGCTTAATTCTGTGCCCTATGGGGCAGTCACACGGTTCAGACTCACTTTGATGTCGCGTTCTTGTATCCCTGATACACTATCGCCCTAATTTGGTGCTCTGTTTGAAATCTTAGTTAAACCCCATTTGTAAGGTAGTTCTGTGTGCAGGAGACACAAATTCCTCCAGTTGCTTGGGCAGCATCTTTCCTTCTCATGGCTGCATCAGTGCATTTGCAGACATCATGTCTTTTACAGAAGTAAATAGGTCTTTGCCTTCTCCCTGCGGGGCTGAATTCAGGTTGTCTTTGCTTTCCACACCCAGATGAGCACAATTCTGTGCAGACTGCTCCCTGCGGTTAAATTTAAACCTTTCTGCCTCCAGCTCTTCAGTATTTAAAACAGTGTTGCTACTACAAGAGAGAAATCAAGACTGTTGGCAGAAGGAGGGTGAAGTTCTCTCTTCTGCCTGCCCTATTCAGTCTGGTTCTAAGCTGCTGTTTCTCACCAGAGTTTTAGTAGAGGCCTTTCTATGCTGCCCTGGGATCTTTCATCTCTCAGGTATGGGGACATACAGCTCACTGGAGCTCTGATGTAACCTCTGTGTGACACCTGTAGGTTCCTGTTACTTCTCTGAAAGTGCACTTGTAATGATTCTCTTGGATTAGGAGGAGAATATGATTATGGATACCCAAGACTCTGTGTGTGTGTGGTTATCTCTTTCCTGCCTTCATTTCTCTTGTTGTGGGATTAGAAAAACTGATCTTTGCAGTGAAGATGGAGCATGTTAAAATGCTTGTGGAGTCTCAGGTGGAGAAACGTTTCCTGCTTCACACATTGTACCCTGCTGGCATTCTGCCTGCTCTTGTGCTGCACATTGCCCTCAGATCCCCTGGCAGCTCCTGGGGGATGGAAGTATAGCAATGAACCCTCATGAACCCACTGTCCACATCCCTGGTGCGAAGTGGGCTGGGATGGTCAGCTGGCTGCTTCATGAACACCCCCAGATCCCTGGGGCTTCTTGATGCCATATTGCAAATATCACCTGCCAAGAGGTGCCAGTTTAAGGTTGGTTTCTCCACCATTTCAGAGTTCTTTGTGTGGGAGCTGCCCTTATATTCTCTTAAAACAGGGAGAACATTGATAAGAGTCGTCTTGACTTCTCTTACTGTAATCTTGTTTGTTAGTTTAAGGAAGTGGCAATTGGAATCTCAGTGCTGCAGCCTCTGATCCAGGCTCTTGAGTTTACCTGATCAATGCTCAAACAGACTCTTGAAGCTGGGTAGACTCCTAACACTAGATGCACATTCTTATTGGGGCAGTTGACTTTAAAGCAATTTACCTCCTTTCAGGGTGAATTCCCATTGCTCAGAGCATCTTTGCTTCAGTTGAATGACTTTCTAACAGATAAAAGCTCCAGCTGGCTTAATGCAGCAATTGTTGAGTGAAATTGTGAAGGGCTGTGTCATGCATGAGATCAGCGGTAGAACAGAATTCTGTCTTTTACCCCCTCCAAGCCCCCAAAAGAGAGATCTGTGTCTGTGTGACCTTAGGTTTGGGCTTTAAATGGAACTCTTTCTACTCTGCCCAAATGGCAGCAGCAGCAACACTGGAGCTCTGATGAGCCTGGGTGGCTGCACAGCCCAGAACTGCTGTGGCTGTGCGGCTGCATGGTCCAGTGGTGGTGGTAGATTAGAAGATGGGTGAGCTCCTGGCTTCTGAGCACCTCTGTAGCTAAAGCAGCTCATGGAGTGCAGATGGTGGTGGTCAGATCCTATTGCCGCCTCCAGGACCAGGTCCATGGAGGTGTCTGATCTCCCACGTGCTGTGGTTGTCACTGTTCCTGATTCCAGGGGGGTCTGAGCTGCTTTGAAGCAAAAGCCACTGTAGAAGTGAGTTGTCTGTGCAGTGGGACAGTGTGAGGCTTGCTTTTATCCTGGTAATAGAAATTTTCAGTCTCTCTTCAGCATTATGTGACTGCTGTTTTGATATACCTGTGCTAATTGTTTGCCCATGCTTCGTACCCTGCATCTTCAGCTCCGGGGGAGCCAAGCTCTGCAAAGCCACAGCCTGGCCCCCAGGAGCCTGTGGGAGGTGTGATGAAAGGAGGAAGCCAGCCCACAAAGCAGGCAGCTGGGGCTCTCCAGCAGCCTCTGCTGCCACCTGAAACAAAGGCTACAACAGCAGCTCCCACCAGAATCGAGGTCACCATCCCAATACCCCTGGATATGTACCAAGACTCCAGAGCATCCGAAGACAAGAGTGAGTTGTGGGATCATCGAGGCAGAGAAGGCATTGGTGTAGATCCGGCGCTGGGAGCAGAGCTGGGTCCTGAGGTGCACACTGAGGGGTTGGCAGGAGCTGGTGGCACAGAGGAGACCCATATTAAAGATGGGCCATCTCCTTTATGTACCAGAGCCCCATTAAAAGAAGATGCCAGTGGACAGGAGAGAGATGAAGACCGTGACATTGATGAAATGTCTGAGCAGGGTTTGCTTTCTCTGGTGGCTCAGCATGAAATGGGCTTGTGTCCAGCAGCTAAGGAAGCTCTTAAAGAAGACAAGTCCAAGGGTGTCCTCAGAGACATCCCAAGAGAGGCACTTCTTGTTGAAGCTGAATCACATAAAGCAGAAGACCAAGAGGAGAGGAGACAGCCACTGGGAGATGAAGAAGGTAGAGATGTCTCCCCATCAGAGCCTTCAGAAGTCATCTCCCAAACAGAAGCTGAGCCCAGGGAGGGAGAAGATTCTGGACCCACAGAGATAAAAGATGATGTGCAAGGCAAAGATGCTCCTTTGGAAGAGGTTCTGCCAGGTACAGGAGAACGTCAAACACCCAAGAAGAAACCTCCTGCCCATGTTGCAGATAAAGCCACCAGTCGTGTCCCTCTCCTCAAAGGTGTGTGCTCCATTTGCCTGCCCTGAGCTCACACTGCTGGGGGCTTGCTCACGACAAGGCTGCCTGAACCAGCCCTTCAGCTTGCTGCTACCTCTTGAATCCTGCCGCTTGGGACATGGCCTGGACCTTTGCTGTGAACTGATCTCCAAAGCGCCGCTGCTTCCCCCTCCTGCTCCTTCCCTCTTTAGTTCCACCCCGGATGTCCCGGCACACTCGGTTTGCGTCCCTTGCATGGTGCTGGCGTGTCCCCAGTCATGCTTTGTTCACCTGGTTTTGTTTTGGTTTCCCTCGGTCTGTGGGGTAGGCACTTTAACTCACACCCAGGGAAGATGAAAACTGGATGGCCACAGCTGTGGTGTGTTGGAGTGGGGCTAAACCAGTGCTGGTTCCAGCAAGACATGTGCCATCTGGTTTATAGAATCATAGAATGGTTTGGGTTGGAAAGGACCTTAAGATCATCCAGTTACAGCCCCCTGCCGTGGACAGGGATGCCTCACACTAGGACATGTTGCCTGAGGCTCTGCCTAACCTGGCCTTGAACACTGCCAGGGATGGGGCAGCCACAGCTTCTCTGCCCACCCTGTGCCGGTGCCTCAGCACCCTCACAGGGAAGAACTTCTTCCCTATATCCAGCCTGAACTTCCCCTGTTTCAGTTTGAACCCATCACCCCTTGTCCTATCACCACAGTCCCTGATGAAGAGTCCCTCTCCAGCATCCTTGTAGCCCCCTTCAGACACTGGAAGCTGCTCAGAGGTCTCCACGCAGCTTCTCTTCTCCAGGCTGAGCAGCCCCAGTGTTCTCAGCTTGTCTCTGTATGGGAGGTGCTCCAGCCCCTGGTCGTCGTCGTGGCCTCCTCTGGACTTGCTCCAACAGCTCCATGTCCTTCTGTTGAGTTCACCAGAACTGCATACGGTTCTCCAGCCTGTCACTGACATAAAGAGCTTCACCTCCTCCCCGTCTGCCTGGCCTATCTCTTAAACAGCCTGTAACCTTCCATCCCAGCACTCCAGTCACAGGAGCCATCCCACCATGTTTCTGTGATGCCAACAATGTCATATCCCCTTAGCTGTGCACACATCCTTAATTCCTCTTGTTTATTCCCTGCGCTACAGGTATTTGTATAGAGGCATCTGAGCTGAGCTCCAAATGAAGCCGACTCCAGGCTCCAAGCATCTATTTTAGGTGTTGGCATCTGACTGGGAGTGTTGGGATGGATTGATGCTCTCTCCCCCAGCACATCTAGTTTAAAGCTGCCTTGACCAACCTGGTGCATCTTACATGTGTCCACTCTCTGGTGCAATAGCTCCTTATATTTGCTTTCTTAAAGAGAAGGGAGGAGGTAAAAGGCAAGTGAGACATCAGGTCTAACCCCACATTGATCCTGTTCCTTGTGCTTTGCCCTTCAATACCCGCTACTAACTGCTGCTGGAGGTGAGGTCCTCAGCTAGAAAGCATCCTGAGGCGATGGCAGTTGCGGAGAGCGTGTCCCCTGGTGGTCCAGGGCTGTGTTTGAGGTCTTCTGGGGCGTGTGAGGCCTGGCTCTTGGGTGCATCTCAGTGTTGGTGCCTCTAGGCTGGGCAGTCACTGTCCTGGGTGAAGATGTGAGTTCACACTTTAACACCGGTGGTGTCTCACCACATCGTACCTCAGCTCTGGCTGTTGAGAGCCTGGGGGAGGCTCTGCCCTTCTCCCCAGTGCCACATCCCAAAAGCTGGCTTGGCTGCTTCCATTAGCCTGGAACTGCTGCTCTGCTTTGCAGCAGTGTTCTTTGCTGTGTGGGGTTCATGAAGAAATTGTTGATGGAGCTTTTTCCATTGGAACTAAAGCTCATAACATATTTCTCATCGTTCAGTCCCTAATAATCCATCGGGAAGCTGCGCACACGTGCTACAGGCATTGGCATGGCTTAGAATCCCTAACATCAGAGCCTGGAAACCATGGTGGGGTCAAACAGCTTCAGTAGGAGGAATAGGAATCATTTTCTTTAATGGTTTTATGGTCTTTTCTTCCTTTGTGTTCATCTCCAGCCTTGCTCCATCTGCAGTGTAACTGGATTTGGGAAGGGTGGTGCATCCAGCAGCTCTGGGAGTGGCTGCGATGGGTCAGTGCTGGATTCACAACATTGTTCATGTCACTGGGAAAGGGCTGACCCACCAGGACAAGTTTCCAAGCCACTGGGGAGAATATCAGCAGCTTTTCCTCCCAGAACAGGGAGGAATTAGCTGAAAACAGGGAAAAGGGTCTTTGTTATGAGTGCCTCATAGTGCAAACATCCTCCCTGTTGCTGATCTCCTAAGCAGCAGTACTGCAGTCTGTGTGCAGTTCTGTGACTAATGGGACAAAACACTGCAATACTGTCAAGCATCGCTCTAAGCTTGATACAAATCAAGCAGGACAAGAGCTAAAACCTTAATACCCTGCAGGGTCTGACCTGGATGCACAGGCTGCTGGGGAGGCAGAAGGCAGGAGACATCGGGTTAACAATGGCCTGGGGTAAAAATGCTTTCAAAGCTTAACAGAGCTCATCACAGAATCCCACACTGGTTTGGGTTGGAAGTTCCAGCCCCCTGCCATGAGCAGGGACACCTCCCACTAACCCAGGTTGCTCCAAGCCCCCTCCAGCCTAGCCTTGGACACTGCCAGGTGCTGCTAGGGTTGGGGCATCCTTCAATGTTAGCCTTCATTTAGATGACTGTTAGAACCAATGGGTGTTTCAGGGAGGGAGACTCATGTTTAGGGTCAAAGAGAACTGTTCTGTCCTGAACTGAACAGATGCTCCTGGAACTGAGTGCAAATCTGGGCAAAATGGTTTCATAAAGCTTTTGCGTGTGTGTGTCTGATGTTCCAGTGATGACTAACACACTGTTACCTGTGCACAGGGTGATCTGGTAACCCAGAAAGAACGTGTTTATGCTGTGGAAGTATTTCTGCAAGAAATGAGTGACTGTTTCTAAGAACAGGATTTCATCTAATGGGGAGCAGGACCCTGGAGCACCCACCCAGCATGCATGTGGCTGCAGAACAGGCATTGTCATCTCCCTGGGGTTTACTGGCCAGTCCCAAGGGGTGTAACTCTGTGTGTTTCCATTGCTCAGGTCGTATTGACAGCAAAGACAAGGAAGGGACTGAAGCTGAGGAAAAGAAACCGAAGGTAAGCTGAGAACTAAAACCAGAGGTGCCACCAACACACTGAAGTGCTGAGCACATTCCTGGCTCCCTCTCCTACCCTCCTGGACCACAGCTGTGCCTCTTAGGAAATCTTGTCATTATTTTCCGTTCTTCCATCTCCCTCACAAGAGTGTTTTATGTTTTCTTCCCTCACCCTGGGTTGGATGGTGCAATGCGTGATGATCTTTGAGGGTGAGGAAGGGAACCAAACCTAAACCACACCTGTAGCTCGTGGGGTTGGGTGGATGTTAGAGAGCTGTTTCCTCAGCCGAAGACTGGAAAGAGGGCAGCTGGCTTTGCTGGGCAAACTGGTGTGGAAGCAGACTCAAGTCCATGTTGGGCTGGAGTGGGGTCAAGCAGTGTCACAGTGAAAGGAGCAAGGCTTGTAATTAAAACTTAAATTAAATAATCTAGGCCTTGCAGGTGAGGAGCAGAGTTTGGTAGTGGGTAAATGCCAGATGTTGAAAGATCTCTGTCCCGTTGCTTGTTTGAAGGAGGTTTAGTTCAGGTGAGCATTAACATGGCCAGTACCTGGGTGAGATGATGGACAAGCTGATGGACAGGTCAGTGGGTGAAGAATTAAGGGTAAGGAATATACTCATTTCAAACAATGTGAAATTGGGTCTTTCTCTAGGACTGTGCCAGCCAGTTGACGTGGTACCAAGAAATAGTCTAGACAGAAGCAGAGATCCCTTATTGACAGAGCAGGAGGGATGGGGCTGAGAGACCTCAGTGCAGCCGTCTGCAGCTCCCAGCAGTGCTGGTGTTGATAGTGCTGTGTCTGCAGCCTCTTTGCCAGTGGAGCACAGGGAGCCTGGGAGGCAATAGAGCAATTCAGGGGGTAAAAGGTGCCATTGGTGTGGAGGGCAGTGGCATGGGCAGGCTGGCACTGGTGACACTTCCCCAGAAGGTGCCTGGGTGTTGCAGCCTATGGGAGGAGTAGAGCTGAGGTATCTCTGGGCTGTGCAGCTCTGTGCTGCAGGGAGAGGGCAGTGCAAGCCATCACCTACCTCACACCAGTTCTGCATTGCACCTTCTAATCCTGTTTGATGTGGGTGAGCCCCTTTTGTTTCCCTCCCATACTGATTTGTGTTCTGTTCCACTTTTATTTTGTTTCCATGTTTAAGAACTCCTCACCCTGCACTGCCAAACCCCCAGGGGATAGACCCTGCATCCCCCCCCAACGACACACCTCCTCTAGCACAACCCCTTCGAAAACACCCTTCAGCCCTGCTTCCACCTCTAAACGAGCCTCTTCTGTCACATCCCGAGCTGCCAGTACAGGAACACAAGAAAGGAAAGCCAAGGTAAGGGGGTGGGGATGGTAGAGAGGCAAAGCGGCCTTGGGGAATACCTGAAGGCATTCTTGACAGGTCTGACTGTTAGTGCTTGGCCAGGCAGTCTCTTTGTGCCCTGTTCAGTGGAGAGGGTGGGATATGCTTCCCCTTCACGCCAGCCTTGGTGCTCAGGTTTGGTATTTGAAGCAACTGGGTGCATCACACCAGCACATAGGCCCCCTGTGCTGCATTACAGCAAAACCATCTCACTGCTGCAGGGTGGTACCTGCTCTTCCTGAGGCATTTCCAGGGCCCTTTCTTGTTTTGCAGCTTTATGGTATGTTTTATGGGTGCATTGGCTGTAAACAGCAGATGTATTTGAAATGTGCCAGAGCCAGATCTGCCAGGTGCTACACAGAGCCTAGGGAATGCACCCACATCCCTGTCTCACTTTGCAGTGTAAGAAGTAGCTTGGAGTTTTCCCTTTGTGGTGTTCAGTCGTGCAAATACGCTGGTAGTGAGGGAAAGAGCAGGGATTGCAGGTTGAAGACAGTGGGATGTGGTTTGAGTGTATTACAGGTGGGAATAAAGGAGATGCTTGGAGTCTGGCACTGTGCTCCTGAATGGAGCCTCTGGTCCGGTCAATGGATTTGGGCCTACAAGAAATCTGGTGAAGGACTTTTTACAAGGGCAAGTAGGGATCAACCAAACCTTTTAACAAGGCCTGAGTGTGAGGTGGATTATGTAGCTGAAGCTAAGGGCTCATGCAGGAAAGTGGCAGGAGTGACTGTGCTGTGCTTGTCATAAGCACCGTGATGGGAGACGGTATAAATGGGCACATTGTAGGTACCTGTGTGTGGGGAGACCCATGGGAGCTCCTGTGGGCTGTATCTTGTGTGGCTCTGATCCATGAAGGGTGATCCCTGGGCATCCTCCCCTCCATCAGCCTTTCCCCTTTGTGTCCCCAGGGCTCGGAGATGAGAGGTGGCACGAAGGCCACGCCACGGTCTGGAGCCGGGCAGGCTCAGAGGAACTCCACCAATGCCACGCGCATCCCAGCAAAGACCCCCACGGCCCCTAAGACACCCCCCAGCTCCGGTAGGTGATGGTGAGCACGGGTGCTGCTGCCTCCCACGTTTGTCTGCTTTGGGGGTGCCCCCAGGCTCTCCATGCAGTTAGGTGGGGGTCACACGCAGCGCTAAGGCAGGGCATGGCCAGCAAGGTGAGGCCTGTGTGGTGACTGGGAGCTGCTCAGCCTTGTCACCAGGCTGTGTGTGCAGAGCTAGGGATGATTCCTCTGAAGGGAGCCTCTCTGGATGCTGCTTTTTCTGCTCTGTTTATACAGTTGCCAGTGTGTAGGAGAGGGCAGTTGCTTTATCCCTTTGGGATTTCCTTCAGTTTGGAAGATTTAGGCAGCTCCATTTGTTAATCCAT